TAGTTTTGAAGAGAGAAATCAATGGGGTAAAATGCAAATTAATTGATTGTGATTATGTGTTCTTGAGTGAATGTGTTGGCAAAAAAACAGATAAACGAGATGAAGAAATAAATACTTCGTCGGATCAACATTCGCCACATATAAGACTATAAAAGATTATTGCGACGGCATTACTGTAAACGAAGTTTATCCGACAGCTGCCACAAGGAAACTATCAATTTATATTTACAGAAAGTAACCAACTGACCGATCTATCTATCTATCTATCTATCTCATTTTGTTCAATTCTTTCTTTTTTTGTATCTATCTATCTATCTATCTATCTATCTATCTATCTATCTATCTATCTATCTATCTCATTTTGTTCAATTCTTTTTTTTTGTTGTATCTATCTATCTATCTATCTATCTATCTATCTATCTATCTATCTATCTATCTATCTATTCATCTATCTGTGTTCATCTATCTATCTGTTCATTTCACATCTATCTTCAGTTCATTTCATATCATATCTCTCTATCTATTCTATCTATATCTATCTATCTATCTATCTATCTATCTATCTATCTATCTATCTCATTTTGTTCAATTCTTTCTTTTTTTGGATCTATCTATCTATCTATCTATCTATCTATCTATATCGGCGACTTTATCTATGTATGTATGTATGTATGTATGTATGTATCTATCTATCTATCTTTCTTTATGTCTATTAAATATCAAGCTTACGAATACCTATGTATCTCATTTAGTTCCTGTCTATCCGACGAATACTCGGGGAACCTCGAGGCGGTGTAATGGTTAGCAAGCTTGTTTCGCTAGAACAATTACGACCGAGTAGTGAGTTCGATCCTCACTGGGTACCCCTTATTTTAGCCTTGTGCCACATCTAAGCTACGCTTGGAAAATCACTATCAGACGAATACTTCTTTGTCATTATCATGAATTGAATATTTGTATTATATTAATCCAGGTCTGAATACAAACAGCAGCTATTCTTGAATATACGTCGATTTTGTGCATAAAACAAACAATATACTTTCAGCCATAAAATTATTATTTGAGATATTTTGCATATGCCGGTTGAGCTCAGCTTATCCGAAATTATTTTACATTTAAAATGCGTCAATATTTCATGGCATATAAGACACTTTTTCGGAAGTAGTTAATAAACAATTCCCCGACGTCTTATAAATTGGCGCTTTTTGAACCAGACGCTGCCAACGCCGACTTTAAAAGGCTAAAAACCATTTGACATTGCGCCAATTTTTAGAGAAACTTTCAGTGTTTCGTTTCCTGTTTTTCTTTCTTTCTTTTTCTCAAGTCATTTAAAAGAGAAGATATTTTGTTATACATGATTTTGTGTAGAACAGAAAAAACATTCAAAAACAGTTAAATTTATTTAAACAACAACTAGAAAATATAGTGGATTGTCTTGGTGCACGATTTTAACCACTATTCGAGTGAAATGCGTCCATCATTTCACAGATACGTGGCAGGCGGTGTGTGGGGAGGTTATTTGGCTCCCTTAAAATTTTTAGCAATTGTAGTATTTTTACAGGGTTTTATTTTAACAAAATACAATAAAGAAAGGAATACAGTTATTTCTTTTTTTTTTCTTTTTATCTATCTATCTATCTATCTATCTATCTATCTATCTATCTAGCATGTATTCATACCTATCTATCTATCTATCTATCTATCATGCATTCATATCTATTTATCTATCTAGCATGTATTCATATCTATCTATCTATCTATCTATCTATCTATCTATCTATCTATCTAGTGGATTATCTTGGTGAATGATTTTATCCTCCACCCGAGGGAAATGCGTCCATCATTTCCCAGGTACGTAGCGGGCGGTGGGAGTGCCTTGGTCCACCCCCCCAAATTTTTACCAATTGATGTATTTTTACAGGGTTTTATTTCAACAAAATACAAGAAAGAAAGAAAAAAAAAAGAACTATCAAAGCATAGAAAGAATATAACTTTGATAAAAATGTTCTTGTAGTTGTTTTATTTTTTCAAACCCAAATAAAAAAAAGAACTAAGTAAAAAAAAAAAAATAATTTTTTTCCTTCATTAATAAATCTATATTTTCCCTGTAGACATTCAAAAAAAAAAAGATGAAAATTTCTTTCATTTGTAACACAGACGGCTCTCTATTATTTCAAAGACGATCTAGGATAGACGGACGAGAAATTTTAAATGTTCTTGCTGCTAACCATTTTGGCGGCCTTTGATAACTTAAGGTTAAATTCTAAATCTTTTGCCCCCGACCCCAGCATCACAAAAAGCATTTGTCTCTGCTACGATCTTGTTTCAACAAAGATATTGTTTTTTAAATGCTATATACCTCAAGACTTAGGTGACCATGGCTATCTATCTATTTATCTATCTCATTTTGTTCAACTCTTTCTTTTTTTTTCTTTCTATCTATCTAGCATGTATTCATTATCTATCTATCTATCTATCTATCTATCTATCTATCTATTAAATATCAAGCTTACGAATACATATGAATCTGATTTTGTTTTTGTCTATCCGACGAATACTTCTTTGTTATTATCGTGAATTGAATATTTGTATTATATTAACCCAGATCTGAATACAAACAGCAGCTATTTCTGACGAAAGGCCTAATGTAATATTTTGGGTATCATATATGACCACAAGATGCTTGACTTATAATGTAAGGTCTCAAAAGAAAGACATCTATTTTTTCACTTTATTGATTATATTTATTTAACTGAATATATGCTTTACATCACATCTGTTGCATAGAGTGTAGTCTAAATAATTTATGGTTTGTATGTTCTGTGCATCACATACGATGTACGAGTTTTTATCACTTGAAACACCATACATCAGCACGTTCTATGTAAAAGTTCATCGCTCTTTTCCTTGATTCTCAAGACATTTTTCCCATCTCTTAAGACATTTTGTTTAATCTGTAGAAGATACCTTTCGCCATTCCAATTTGGCGTCAGTCTTTTATCCTAATTCCTATCCCTCTATTACCATTTAGCAAAAAAAAAAAGTTATTCTACCTTCCCAGATACCGTTGCTTTTTCTGAGCCGGATTTATTCATTATTTCCATGAATAAAGCAACTTCTATCTCAGCCATCAGATTCAATCGATTTAGCTCTAAATTCATCCTCAAAAATTACCTTTTATAAATGTTATGGTCCAGGTCCTTGTACCACGGTGATAGTCCAAGGTAGAACCAATAAAGAAGAACTCGAACACGGATATGGAATAACATAGATATATTACAAACAGGAATATATACAGAGAAGTAGAAGTGTTAGTATGAACAATCAGGTTTAGTAGAGAGAACAATGTAGTCTCGACCAGTATCACTATTCCAATGTCTTGTAATTGTCTGAACGCGACTCTGTTTCGGACTGCCTCTGACTCGACTGACTCGCTCGTCTGACTGACTGACAGACTCCTGACGGACTTCTGACGGACCTCACTCCAGACTTCAGACTGAACGCTCTACTTCCTCTTGAGGTGCAGTTTTTATTACGTATGGAATAGTCCATTATGTTATTATGGGTAAGGTCCCATAACAATAAATCAGTTTTCATGTACTTCTTCGTTTAATTTACATGCTTCTCTTTATGATGTTTACTTAACCCTTTGCCTGTCCTGCGTTTCATATGTGGTGCACAGGATATGTGATTTCCACGTCCGTACATCATATATATTTCATACGAGCCATGATTTTAAAAGAATGGTAAAACTAAGGGCGCTTAAGTAAAGTGTCTACTGTTTAGCAGGATGTCTGACGAAAGGCCTAATCTAATATTTTGGGCATCATATATGACCACAGGATGCTTGACTGATAATTTAAAGTCTCAAATGAAAGACATCTATTTTTCCACTTTATTGAAATGCGTATAACCTTTACATTACATGTGATGCACAGAGTTTAGTGTAACTAACTTATGATTTGTACGTTTTGAGCACTCAACCTGACATATTTAAAGTTCGTATAAGATGGAGTAAAGTATGTCTGAGAAAAAAGGACTTCCAGGAAGCTATAATATATTACAGGTTGATCTTAAACATTACATATTATTGGTAATTAAAGCTGTCTATCAACTCTTAAGTTAAAACCTTATGAATATGAACATAACACCAACATTCATCTTATTAAAAAATAGAAAGCAAAGTGACACAAGTCCAAGTGTTGAAATATACTTATGACTAACACAAAACAAATCTCAGATGATCAAAATAACTGTACTAATGTGAAAGGTGATGCTGAGATCTGAACTGCAGTATGTAGGCCAGGTCTGCTTCAAAGACACTGGTCTGGTTCAAAGGCAGTGATTTTCGAAAATGGCTGTAAAAGGTCAAGGTCAAGGTCACACAGCTGAATGGCGACCACACAGTGCTGCTGGCATCTTTTGGTAAAACATGGAATTGGATTTCTTAGGTATGCACTTTACATACTCTGATTGATAAAACTGGCCGGTCGTAAGTGATATTCTATGACAGAGGATGTAGTTGATGGAGTGCGGGGGCATATGAGATTTGTCAGCAGGCCGTCATTGAACCTCGGGCCGGATTTTGGGCATGCCTGGCGCAAAAGGGTGCATTTTATTAGGACTATAACCCACGAGGTATTTTTTTTACCGAAAAATTTGTTTTACAAATTCGACTCATACAAGAGTGCATGCGCGATAGTCAAACAGTTCGACCTATACACAGATACATGCAGTAGCCATTACGGTTCTCTTTCTTTCTGTCTTTCCCAGTGACAACACGCACATCAAAAGGAAAACATCGATATAACATAACCCAACACTAAACCAAGTGATAAATACGTACGCGAGCAATGTTTTTTTCCCCCTTCTCCAGAAAGAAAATGAAGAGGACAAACACTCTCACACATACAAAAAGCTTTAGCCAAATAATTACATTACGAATCACAACAAAGACGTAGACATCAAAGGAAGTCGAATCTAACAAAATCAATCGATAATTACTCACGTAATTACCGACAGTAAAAATGAAAAAAAAGTATCGCCAAAAACTAATTCCAAAAGCAACCAATAATTTCTTCAGTAGACGTCGAATAACTGACTTATAATCTATCTCGTCTGATTGGTTATATAGTGGCAAACATTAATATAAATATGGCTGAAGAGGCACGCGTGAGCGTACAAGAATGCATAATATGATATCTATCTATCTATCTATCTATCTATCTATGTCTTGTTCTGATCTATCTATCTATCCCCGTCAGTTCATATCTTCCCAGTCAACTTTGATTTTTTTAAAATTTAAATGCAATGCCAAACGCTATCTTATGTCTTCTTAATTCCTGTTCTTTTATCCCTTTCTCCTCTTAACGGATTATTTCTCATATTCTTTAACCTTTGCGTCTTAGTGGCTTTATTGCCTTGCTTACAGTGAGAGAAATTATATATATATGAAAAATTTCTCAGAGTTAATCTGTAGAAAAAGACAATATGTATACAGGTAAAAGACAATAAGAAAACAGTATTATTAGGCGACGTGTTTCGTCCAATGTGTACTTTCTTCGTTTTTTCTTGAAAATGTCCTCATTGAACGAAACGCGTCGGCTAATAATACTGTTTTCATATTATCTTTTAGCTTTATATATATAACTACTAAACTAAAGGAATGAGTTAGTTGCCAAATGTCGCCACAAGAGTAGGTTTAAACTGATCTAGGATATTATTGACCTTACTTAATCTGTTATCACCTAACATTTATATCGTTATTTCTACTCTATTTCAATCCTATCAAATAATCTCCCTCTAAAATGTTATTATCAATCTTTTTATCTTCTATATATTTTTTTTCACTATTATTATTTTTTTTTTCGTTTACCTTTTTTCATCTTGCTCTTTTAATTATTTTTATTAGTAGTATTTTACTATTATTGTTTCTTTATTTTTGTTCTCATTTCATTTATTATATGTATTATTCAATAATTATTTGATTTAATATTTTATTTTATTTATATTTAATATCTTATTTATATTTAATATTAATTTATTTTTTAATTAATAAATTTATTTTAAATTTATATTTAATATTTATTTTTTAATTCATATTTTAATTAATACTTATTAATTCATATTTAATAATTTATATTTTAATTTTATTTTATTTAATAATTTTATTTTCTTCAATAATTATTTTATTCTATAATTATTTTATTTATCATATTAAATGTATTATTATTTGAATATTACCTTTTGTTTTAATGTAATTTTTAATTTTAGGTGTTACCTTTTTACATTCTCTTTTTTAAAAAAAATTTCTCAAATTATTAAATATTTTCCTTTATAAACTAGATGTTAAAATTTTAGTATAGGTCAAGGTTATTTTAACTTCTTGACTTAGACCAGACACTCACACCTCTACTATCAGGATTTGGGGAGTTTATTTAGATTCTCTAGTGCAACTCCCTTTTTATTCTTCTCCCTTTCTTTTCCTATTTTTTTTTCTTTTTTTTTTCTTTTTCTCTTCTTCCTATCTTTACCTCTCATTCTTCTTTTATTCTTTAAATATTTTATTTTATTTCTTCACATCTCTGAGTTGACAAGACCTACAAGTAACCGTCCTGGGTATAACGATAAACTACATCTGCATATATATATATCCGGGTGAATCTAGTAATATTAGTTATTAAAACTGATCCCCAGAGAGCTCGATGTATTTATTATAACAGAACATATGTATTTTTTACACAAAAAAAAAAAAAAAAAAAAATCAAAAATTACCTCAACAAAGAGAATAGCCTAATTCAAGCCGTTGTGTACGCGGCTATCATCAGCCCCTAAGTGTCTATCTCGGAGCATTGTTTTAAATTTATTTTCAATGTCAGTCCTCCTCTGGTAGACGCCTTGATAATGAGAATGGGTTTGTGTTAGCGATTGACTAGAGGCGCAAGTTATCTTATCCCGGGGGAAGCGGTCTGGAATTGGAGTTTATTTATGGCCAGGACCATTGGTTGTTTTAGTTTAATATAAGTTCCTCCTATGTGGCGTTTTTTATACAAGTACCGAGTGTGTTTTTCTGGAATTCATAGTAAATAGTTTTTGTAGTACAGGTGTCCAATATTATTAATAAGCGATGGGGTATTTAAACTTAAACCCCTTAAGATTAATATGATTTTATTTTACTGTAATATATATATATATATATATATATATATATATATATATTATTGTTATGGTCCGGTTCCTTGTACCACGGTGATAGTCCAAGGTAGAACCAATAAAGAAGAACTCGAACACGTATATGGAATAACACAGATATATTACAAACAGGAATATATACAGAGAAGTAGAAGTGTTAGTATGAACAATCAGGTTTAGTAGAGAGAACAATGTAGTCTCGACCAGTATCACTATTCCAATGTCTTGCAGTAATTGTTTGAACGCGACTCTGTTTCGGACTGCCTCTGACTCGACTCTTGACTCGACTTGAACTACTGATTGACTCGA